CAAGTCCAAAAAAGAGATTAAGATTTTAAAAAATCTGTTTTGTAAACTAACTTTTACAAAGTGGAGTCCTGTAGCTCAGTGGTTAGAGAACTCGCCTCGCAAGCAAGAGACCTGATTCGATTCCCAGCAGGGTGAAACCTTGGGCAAGTTTCCTTACTCCACACACATAGTAATAATCCCTCAAGACAAAAAACAATAATTAATTGGTTGTTTCAATCCACGACTGTTTGTGGGACAGCTGTATGCAATTGGCTGCCGCATTTCGCCCACAAATATACAGTCAGTTCACTTTACAGTCTATTCTGTGAAGTGCTTTGAGACGTCTAGAAGACGTGAAAAGCGCTATATCAAATGCAAGGATTATTATTATCATAACTTTTATCTTAGCTGTTAGTTTAAGACATTGACTATTGTGGCTCATGAGGGGAAAACTATTGTATAGAATCAAGATTCAATCCTGCAGACCATTGCTTCAGAATATAAAGCCATTGAATGTGAAAGGATCAATCGGCCCATCAAGCTTGTTCTCTCCCAACTTTTCATAGATACTCCCTGAGCGACAAAGCAAAACAAGATCAAGCTCTAGAATACTCACCAATCCACACATCTGCACTGTTTCATTCTGGCCTCCTTCCCTCCATATAAAACATCACCGACCCTCCACCCCCCACCTCTTGTCTCTGGGTCAGAAAGCTACAGGTTACAAATCCCACACGTGGATTTGAGCTCCTAGCCAAGACTGGAATAATCCAGAGTAGTACTGGGGGAGCATTATCAAGCTTGCCATCCTTCAGCTGCGACATTTAAATCAATTTCCAGTCTGCTTGTTCTTCAGGTGAATGTTATCGATCATATTTCAAAAAAAAGAATAGAATCTCACTGGGCCAGCAATCCTCAAGATGAATTGGTCATTGACTTCATCGCTGCCTGTGGAACCTTGCTGTGTGCAAAGTGTCCGCTGCATTTAGCTACAAAAAGCAGTCATTACACTTCATATTAACAGTAAAACACTTTGAGACATTTTGACATATAAAGCACTATATAAAAAAATATTATTTTCTTACTTATAAGATAACAGACTATGAGAAGATTGGAGCAATAAAACTATTTTTGTCCTGGACACAAAACTGTCCCAGTTATAAGCAGGTGCTTTCATGAGTCAGCAGGAACACACATGTTGCAGTTATCCGCCATCCAATATAATACTAAATTAGGTCTGAGATAAAAATAATTTGTATCAACCAACACAATGACAAAACTGTGTCTTTGATCACATTGTTGCACTTTCATCCTGTTTGCAAAGCTGGTAAATTCCTCCAGAAGGACAACTTATCAGATGGATTTTTAAGGAGTTTTTTTGCTACAGGGTGGTGCAAACACAGTCAAAAAAGGAAATGGCAAATAACATAGTATCTCTTGGTGAATCACAATATTTTGTTCACCATAAACTTCATGTGACATTTCATTCACTGATGGGTCAGATGTTCATTTGTTAACACACGTGAGCTTTCCATGACATCGGGAGTTACATTTTTGCTTTGAACCATTTACAACATTGGTCTGACATTTCTTCTGACTGCAGTAAGGGCTTTGTAAAGCCTTGTCCACCACAGAGTGTTCAATGACAGCTTCACAATGCTAACAAGTATCAAGGCAAGATTATGAATATAATGAAATGGTCACTTTATAATAATAATAATCCTTGCATTTGATATAGCGCTTTTCACGTCGGGAGGACGTCCCAAAGTGCTTCACAGAACACACTGTAAAGTGAATTGACTGTATATTTGTGGGCGAACGCGGCAGCCAATTGCGCACAGCAATGTCCCATAAACAGTCGTAAATTGAAAATGACCAATTTATTATTGTTATTGGTTTGGGAGGGATTATTATTAGGCTCTGTGTGGAGTAAGGAAACTTGCCCAAGGTTTCGCCCTGACCTGCCTGGAATTGAACTCAGGTCTCTCGCTTGCAAAGCGAGTGCTCTAAACACTGAGCTACAGGACTCCACTTTTTCACTTTTTCACGAAATCCTGACTCCTAATTTCAATGATTTCACCGTATCACAATTTTACTGAAAATTTCAAGGATTTTGCAAAATCCCTGGTTTCTAAATTTACATGTACACAATCATTGCACTACACCTTACAGTAACTCCTGTGAAGAACTTTGAGTTATCCTCCTGATATGAAAGGCTCCATATGAAATGCAACAATATAATTTATAAGGTATATTATTGAGTGCCCCCTGCTGGAAAGTGCTTGTGACAGAGTCTGGTGAGAGCAATATCAGGATCAAGCCTGATGACTTCCTTCACAAACAGCCCACAGACACTTGCTAGATATGCTCACACATTTTTGGGGGGTCAGCCGGGTGTTTGATACAAGTGGAAAACCATCACCATGCTTACGTGTATCCAAAACGAATTGAGAATTACATGCATCCCAACTATACATGGGAATTCTCATGTATTGGAATCCAATTTGCATTCTCTCACTGGGGGAACACATCCAACTTACCTAATTCCAGAGAGTATTGGGCACAGGTTGGCAAGAGCTTGGGGACCGCAAAGTGTGCATTGGAGTACTAACCAGCTAAAACCACATACCACCATTAAAAGCACTTTCTGGCAACCTTTCCCGTTGCTTGTCCAGCTAGCACTACCCTACCCATTGGCTTGCAGGTTGCAGGACCTCACTGTGGGAGTATCTATCCCCAGTTTTTTTTTATTTAGTCTGCCCCCCATAATAATAATAATAATAATCCTTGCATTTGATATAGCGCTTTTCACGTCAGGAGGACGTCCCAAAGCGCTTCACAGAACACACTGTAAAGTGAATTGACTGTATATTTGTGGGCGAACGCGGCAGCCAATTGCACACAGCAATGTCCCACAAACAGTCGTAGATTGAAAATGACCAATTTAATTATTGTTTTTGGTTTTTTGGAGGGATTATTATTAGGCGTGTGGAGTAAGGAAACTTGCCCAAGGTTTCGCCCTGCCTGGAATTGAACTCAGGTCTCTCGCTTGCAAAGCGAGTGCTCTAACCACTGAGCTACAGGACTCCACATGTCCTAAGAATGATCCAGGCTGGCTGTGCTATCATCGGCAGTACTCTGGAGTACTATGCATGGCTCTGGAACCAGCGTAGTCTAGTGAGACTTAATTCCCACATTCCACTGCCAAGCATGTCACCGTGGAGCCAGGTCAGCTCCACGTACACCCCACTTACCTCCTATTCAAGGAGCTTCACACATCAAGAATGACCAGATAAGATGGAATTGTCATTGTTTTAGTGCATTATCATGTTGGAACATCTCAAAGCCATTTATTGTCTGCAGAAATGACTGGGGTTTTTTGCAGGGAAACTTGACAATTTATTTAAAGTCCCACACGCATTCTTGAGGTGAATGACATAGTTGGGCAGGAGAAAAAAGGAGAAAATCATATCCTGTGCATGGGTTTCATGAGATCCTTGACATCCACCTGAATTACAGGAGCTCAGATTAACATTTCATCTAAAAGACAGCTACGCTGACAATGCAGAACTCCTCCACACTCTCAGTTTAGTCTAGGAGCTCAAGTCCTGACATGAGGCTTGTACCCAAAGTTGTGTAACACAGAGGCTCGAGTGCTACCAACTGCTCCAAACTGACGTACATTGTATCCTGTGAAATCATATTCTGGTGAATCATTTTTTTTGGGGGGTGGGGTGTGTGGGAGAGAAAATCTGCAATTAAAAAGCTTCCAGAATTCAGTCATACTTAAAATTAAAAAAAATTTGAATGTGGGAATGGAGCAAAGGGGGAGAAAGCTAATTTGTATAGGCGCTTGAGGGTGATGAGCAACAACAAATTACATTTGTATAGCGCCTTTCACGGCGGGAAGATGTCTCAAGGCGCTGAACAAGAGTCCTAAGTAATGGAAGGAGGCAGATGACTCAACATTTTACCATTAACAATAATAATCCTTACATTTGATATAGCGCCTTTCACGTCAGAACTTCTAAAAGTGCTTGGCAAGATATATTGTGAAGTGGTGTGACTGTGTGAGTTTTGTGGGCGAATGCAGCAGCCAATTTGCGCACAGCAACCTCTCACAAACAGCCTGGGAGTGATAGACTGACAAAGATATCCAGCTGACTGTTCCAGGTTCCTGGAAAACTGGGCAAACTACTTTTTCTAAAAATCCATGTTTGTACAGTGTTGTATATGAGCAACACTGGGTGGAGGAGGAGGGTGGGGCAGAGCTCGTCCACCTAATGAACCCATCAATTTGCATCTGATTTCTGCTTGAATACAATTTGAAGAAGAGCTGAGTTTGCCAGTTGGAATCAAAAGAATAATAATAATAATAATAATAATCCTTGCATTTGATATAGCGCTTTTCACGTCGGGAGGACGTCCCAAAGCGCTTCACAGAACATACTGCAAAGTGAATTGACTGTATATTTGTGGGCGAACGCGGCAGCCAATTGCGCACAGCAATGTCCCACAAACAGTCGTAGATTGAAAATGACCAATTAATTATTGGTTTTTTTTTGGTTTTTGAAGGGATTATTATTAGGCGTGTGGAGTAAGGAAACTTGCCCAAGGTTTCGCCCTCTGCCTGGAATGATCTTCTCATTCCAGAATGATCTTATCATCTTGAGACTTTCGGTGCTTTAAAAGTTGCATTAAAAAAAATACCTGCACCGCCCATTCAGTCCAACTCCCTGTTCATGCATTGCAGCATTATCTCTTCTCACCTACACACGGGAATTGCTAGACGGTGGGGAATTCCTGAGTGTGTGTGTGGGGGGGGGGGGGGGGTTTCCAGCATTATTTCCGTTTGGGAGAGCACACGATGGAGTTTACTTTCAAACTTGGGAATCGATAAGGAACCGATCCTTATTTGGGGTGAGTGTGGGTTGGGCTGGAGGATCTGGGTGGAGTTGGCTCAGTCACCAGGGAGTGTGACTCAGTTGGCTCAGGTCAGAGAAGCAATCGCACTCAGGGGAAAGTGTGTGTGTTTTTGTGCTCACTCACTCTCTCACTCTCTCACTCACTGGGAGGACAAAGTACAGGAGCTTTAAACTCTGGTTTAAGTTCTGCAAGAACTCAATCGCGTGGGTTTGGTTCCTGCTTTGCTTTGCTGATCCGAGGACCACTTCCCACTGCCGTGTCAGAGAAAAGAGAGGGGGGGGAAGCCATGCATTCGTGCCTGTTTCACAGTGTGTTTGACTTTAGGAAACTCTAAAACAAAGGAGAGTGTGTGTGTGTTTGTGTGTCTGTGTCTGTGTCTGTGTGAGTGTGTGTGAACGAGTCTGTGTTGATCTCAAGACTGGTGGTAACTGCGAAACCTGAGAAGCGAAATACCCACTTAATTCGCTGCACACACCATTAACCCATGGTTTGTCTGGGCATTTTGCAGAGAGTAAACTTGCACAGGCTGGATTACAATTAAACAATGGATAACTTCTTCACTGAGGTGAGTACAGTTCAAGAGATCCACTTGGTGTTCTGATGTTTTAAAGTCTTTTTTTTTAGGACAAGAGGGTTATGCTTTAATAACTCTTGGCTCGGCTTTTGGAAGTAAAATGTTCAAGGAGAAGAATAAAAGAGAGGAGCTGGGTGACTGAGAGCCCTGTTGCAGTGAAGAATAACTTTAACCAGGATATGGCCAGATGCCTGGCTCCTCACTGAGAGAGTCTGGCATTTCCTTTCACAAACTGCTGCCTTCCTGCAAAGGGATGCAGTGCTTTCTGCAGTGATAGAGCACAGCACCGGGACCCAGTTAGGAGAGGTTATATTTAAGAGAAGGATGTAATATAAAACACCTTCAGATCAATGTGCACGAATTGACTGAGTGACTGTGTGAACACAGGCTCTTGAATGCTGCTGTTATGGGTCATATGAGGACCTCAGATTGCACTAAGTTTATTGTCAAGAGGTTTGCAAACAGATCTGAGTCCTTATTCAACTGACCTCAGTCTGCAGAGCAGATACCAGGAGATAGGCACTGTCTGAGGATTTACATGGACTGATACTGAAATTCATAAACTTTCTGTCTCCAATACAATATCACTCGTTCATGTTACATTCCCTTCTCCCCACCCCCATGGCCTCAGTCTCTATACAGTCTTCTGTGGGAAGACAAAAGCGCAGTCGGGTCTGTTTAGGTGGATCGACAAATTTGGGTATATATAAACACAGTGTTTCACCCTCTGCTTTTACAAGTCATTTGTTTGAACGCTGTAGATGTCAGACGGTCGGTCAAACTCGTTTTACACTCCAGGCAGCGCTTAATATCAAAACCTATCTTAGAAGATGTGGGGTCCCAAGGAAAGCAACACTTGCTGTAGTGACCTTTCACTGGGTTTGTGTTAGTGCAGAAATGTTTTGGTCAAATAAAACTGTAAGCAAAACTGTTTCTAGGAAATGACCCTTTGGTGGCGTTAAGTTTTGTGGCTAAAACAAAGGAGGGATTTGGCACTGAAGTCAGCTTTGATCCTGTGAGTTAAAAGAAAGGATTATTCTGTTTAAATGTGTGGCAGACTATAACGCGATGGGTGTGTTTTTTTCCCCTTACTGTACGTGTATTGAACGTTTAGTAGTTCTCTATGAGCACTGCTCTTTTTATGTGTCAGTCAGGAAGTTTTATGCTAATAGTCTGAGAGGACAGAGTCTATGCAAACAGGGCTGAGGGATGGTGTTGGCTGAAGGCAGACTCGAAGTTGCTGCAATAGAACTGGAAAGGGTTAGTTTCCTGTCCCCCTACAGACCAATCTTCCTATCACTCCTGCGTGTTAATAGGATGTGGTTCCTTGCAACACTTGTTTGATCAATTTGTTACCACGGATAACCTTTTTTTGCAGTGTTTTCCATTCATAAAATGGGTGAATCGTTACAATATAACACCCCGACCATTCAAACTTGGGTCTAGTTTTCATGGGCGCAGCAGTGATTGACAGTGGTGTGCAGTCTTAACTATGTGAACTGGAATGAGTCATTTTTTAAAAAATATTGTCTTAAAAGTACGTGGCAATGAATGAAATTGTCACGATCATTAACCTGAGAACAGAAAGCAGAAGAGAATGGTAAAAATAGAACGTTTTTTTTTACTTGACTTAACAAACACAAAAGCCCTATTTCACTTCACATAAACCCAAAGATTGTAACTATTGATGTTAAAAGGCTTTGCTTCAAAATGATAATTACCCCGAACTGTTTGATTAACATTGACTTGAGTGAGCAGCAGTAATCACACTATCCTTACTTACCAGAGGTCACTTCCAAAGCTCAGGTCAAACCACATTTCATTTAACTTTTCTTATGATTAAGGTGAAAGCATAAAAAAATGAAGTGACTTCCCAGTTACACATATTTTGTAAATGATATTCCTTCTCTTCCCCAAACACAGACACACACCACACAAACACACAGCATGTTTTAATTACAAACATTCAGGAACATTTTGTGTATGCTTCTTCCTCAAACATAACCAACCAGAGATTTTTTTNGAAATTCTGCATCCTTTTTTATTACAGTAATTTTACATGCACTTCCATGACAATGTATCCCCAAAGAAAAGCTACTGTTGTACTGTGGCTGATTTGAAAACCTTAATGTAATGCAATAGACACCTCTGATTTGTTTTCTCTCTTGACTTGAAGCTCATTCCAGAAAATATTTTTAATTGGCACCAATTCTGAAAGTATTCCTTTGGGAAGAAGTCTTTTGGGAAGATAGTACTGATTGTTGTTGTTCTATATATTTTTGGTATGTTTCCTCTGTGGAGCACTTTAGAGACAGCTGAAATGCATTCACTTGTGGGCCAGATTCCTACACCAGCAACAACACCAGACCTGTTGCGTGTGTATGAACCTTTGTCTTATTAGTTGGCTATTCACTTTCCTGGATCACTGGGTCTGAGACTCCAGGCCAGTTATGTATACTTAGTGTCTCAGTACAGATCTCTAAGGCACACTAATGTAATACTTCCTTAACACAACCCTCTCCGCCCCATTTTTTGTCAACTCCCTAGATGACTCTCTTCTACGTCCTTCCCATTATAGAGCCACATAGATGATTTATCTTTTGATACCAAGTGATTTCAATTTGGAACAGAAACTCTCATGTGGTACTTTGTCTTGGACCTTCGTAAAACGTTAGGTATCCCACGTCGTGTAACTTTCTTTGTCAGATAGCGATTTCACTCACTCAAAAAAGTGTGAGGTCGGTCAGATCAGATTTGACCCTTCTGAAGCCAATGTGGCTGTCATTTATTAGGTTACTTTCATACATATATACTTGCATTTTACTTATAATGATTGATTCCATTATTAAGATCAGGCTAATGGGTTTGAGGGTGTCAGGTCAGTCAGTTTTCTTGAATATGACAAGGCGAGAATGCCCTTAATTGCTCTCTTCCAGAAGGTGCTCGCCCCCTGATGTGATAAGCTGAATGCTTGCAGAGCATGTGGCACTTGGCAGAAGTACACGAGCATTTTTATGTCGGTGTGTTAGGAAACTTTATTGCAATGTAAGGGAGCTATGCAGCCTTGCACAGATTTGATCAATTTTAAAACTACGATTGTAATGTACGAGTGAAATAATGTAACACATGTAACCTAAATGCAGTGAATAAATTCTATTCGATGCTATTTGCGCTTCATAATCAATTTCTTGTGCAACTGGAGATAACCATTTAAATAAAAAACATTGTTGTATAAGAAAGAGCAACTCTTAGGTTTATCAGCAGTAGCATGGTACTGTTTCAAAACATGTTCTTTAACTTTCTTGACCCTAGCCCTCCACCCTTCAGCAAAACAGAAGGAGACATCTGTTCCTTACAGACTTTTTTTGGAGGTTAGGACTCCTACACAATAGGTTCCCATTCCTCAGAAGCGTTCTCCCCAACCCCACCCCCACCCACACATCTCATCTGCAGAACCTCACTTGTACTTTGATATGTAACCCCCACCAGGAACATTGAAGATCACGATTGTGATCATAGAAATTCAGGGTGACTTTGTTAATTCTTTGTCCTGGACTTGAAAATGTCATCACAAGATCAGCTTCAGTGTTTGGGCTAAATGCATTTAATTGTTAAGATGCAGAACTGTGGCTGTAAAAGTGAAAAATAATATAATGTACACTTTGCTAGCTCAACATGCACTTTGTAATCTTTTCAAATATATTAATATGGCAGCAGAATTTTTTTAAAAACTTAGAGATCACAATTTCAATACTCTCGTTACATAAATGTAATTGTTCTTAGATTCCCATTGTTAATTGTAATTTTACACACGCATTCATTTACTAAATGAAACCTATACAGCGTGTTTAATGGTTAAAGACATGCAGTGTTTTTTAAAGGTTGCTATGGCGTTAGCCAATGGTTTGCAGCTCTAAAGGCTACTGGGCTCACGTCTGCTGATGACCTGTGTGCTTATCAGTCAACCATCTGTTGTTTATTTCTTGCAAATCCTGTGTAACTAATTAATGCACTCTCACATGCATTCACATGCTTACATACTCACAATACAATGCTTGAAATCTGACTTTGCCATTTAAGAACGTTGAACATTTCCTAAAGCCAAAAAGTTTTGAAGAAAGTCATTACTGGAACAGCTACAAGTGATCATAGCCCCTTGAAGAAAAGTTTCAATGTGAGGAAAAGCTAAGTGAAGAAAAACTTTTTTTCTTTGTTGCACTATTCCTGTTTGGAACTGGATATGAACTTAATAAATTGTAGGATCTATATTACTGATTTAGTTTACCTTCGAGTCAATAAGTCATGCTGTGACTGAAAACAACAGAGTGGCTGGATTTGTATTCTTGTTGTCCTGTTTTTACAACAACAACAAGATTTCATTTATAGAGTGCCTTTCACGTCGGGAGGACGTCCAAAGGCGCTGGACAGTTGGGTCGGGACCCGAGCAGGGGGGAAATGGTCAGGGTGAGGGGAGGGAAGGGAGGGAGCGAGGAGGGGGTAGAGAGTCGAGAGGGGAGCTGAAGGCACGGTCGAAGAGAAAGGTCTTAAGATCGGCCTTGAAGGAGGAAAGGGAGGAAGTAAGGCGAAGGCACTGGGGAATGGAGTTCCAGAGCCTCGGGGCTGAGAGGCTGAAGGCCCGGCCACCGATGGTAGGGCGGCTGGAGCGGGGGATGTGGAGCAGACCGGAGCCAGAGGAACGGAGGGTATGGGCAGGTAAGTAGGAGGATAGTAGGTCGGAGAGGTAGGAGGGAGCAAGGCCGTCAATGGCCTTGTAGGTGAGGATGAGGATCTTGAATTTGATTCTCTGGGGGATGGGGAGCCAGTGGAGGCGAGCGAGGGTGGGAGTGATGTGGTCCCGAAGCCTGGTGCGGGACAGTACACGAGCTGCAGAGTTCTGAATGACCTGCAGCTTGTGGAGGGAGGTGCCGGGAAGGCCGACGAGGAGAGAGTTCCCATAGTCCAGCCTTGAGGTGATAAAGACGTGGACCAGA